AGAAAAGCAAAGGTCATTGGGCCAGAAGGAAGATCCAGGTCAGTCCAACCTCAGTCTGTGGGACTGGTTGTGGAGCAAACACTCCCAAAAGTAGTTTTTAAACACATGAAGGACAAACAAGGCCACTGGGAACAGCCAGCACAGATTTATGAAGGGTAAATCATTGTAACCAACCTCATCACTTTCTGTGACAAGATGATAAGTGTTGTGGACAAAAAATGGGTAGTGGATGCTGTATACCTTGATTTTAGCAGGGAATTCAACACTGTCCCATAGTGTCCTTATCATTAAATCAATGAGACAGGGACTGGATAAGTGAAAAATAATGTGGTCGGAAGGTTGGCTGGTCTGCTGGGATGAAAGAATCAATCAATGGCGCAAAGTCCAGCTGGCAGCCAGCAAGTAGTGGTATCTTTCAGAGATCACTGTTGGGATCGGTGCTGTCAAATGTCTTTATTAATCACCTGCATGACAGGATTGAGTGCACCCTCAGCAGGTTTGTGGACAAGAGAAAATTGGGGGGAGTGGGAGATAATGCTGGAGGGCAAGGCTCCTACTCAGGGGGATGTGGACAGGCTGGAGAAATGCACTGGCAAGAACCTCATGAAGTTGAAAAAAGGCAAGTGCAAAGTCCTGTATTCGCAACAGAACAACCCTGTGTGACAAGACAGGCTGGACACTAGCCAGATAAAACACGATTTCTGCAGAAAAGCACCTGGAGATCCCAGCAGGCAAAAAGCTGAAAACAAGTCAGCAGTTGTACCGTCATGGGAAAGAAGGCCAAGCACACCCAGGGCTGCATTAGCAGGAGTCCAGCCAGCAGGTCCAGGGAAGCGACCCATCCCCTCTTTTCAGCACCTGTGAGACTGTGTTTGGAGTACTGTGGCCAGTTTTGGGCCACTCTGTACAAGACAGCCACTGACAGACTGAAGCAAGTCCAGTGGAGGCCACCGAGCTGGTCAGATGGCAGGAGCACATGACGTACAACGAGGGGCAAAGGGAACTGCGTTTGATTCAGGCTGGAGAAGAAAATGTGCAGAGAGGAATCTTACTGTTGTCTACAACTACTAGAGGACTCGGAGAAGGTGGAGGCAGACTCTTCTCAGAGGTGCACAGTAATAGGCTGAGAGGCCACAGACACAAGTTGGAACCTAGGAAATTCTGGTTAGAGAAAAGGATGCTTTTGGTGTGTTGGTTTGTTTGTTTTTAAACCATGAGTGTCATCAAGTGGTGGGACAGGTTGTCCAGAGAGATTCTGCAATCTTTCTTGCAAGGTGATCCGGACTATGCTCCCACTCCGGTCCCTGAGTGTTGTGATCTAACTGGAGCTGCTTGGAGTAGGAGGTCAGACTAGCTGATCTCCGGAGGTCTTTTCCAGCCCAAGGTATTCCATGATTCTGTGCTGATGCCGTGCAGAGCACTGCTTCAGTGGAAATGTGATCCTTCAGGCTCGTTTTCAACAGACACTCTGAATTCAGGGTGTTGATTCATGAGGCATCCACAAAGTGAGTGTTTTGTGAATTTTGTGAATCACATTGCAATTCGAAACAAACAAATAAACAAAAACCTGAAAGGCTTACTGTTATCTGTAAATATTCTTAAAGGCTATTTTTGTGTACACACATTTACAACCCAGCTCCTCAGGTTTGCTCCCTTGAGATGTCTCCAATCCCTCTCCCGTTCTGATGAGGGCTAAGTTTTATTTTCCAGTTGATATGCCCTGAGAGGTCAGGACACATAAAGGAGGAAGGGAGAAGTACACAATACGTTTAGAGGAAGGGGATCTGTAGCATTCCCTGCGGAATAAGGGTGGATAAAATCATGCTCTGGCTAATGCTCCTGGCTTATAGATGCTATAGAATGTGGAAAAATACGTGTAAGAATACACCTCAGAGAAGATCATCCACAGTTAAATACCCCTCCCACGGCTTCCCCCATGTCTTTAGTTTACACCTAAGTGCTTACACAGGTTAGAATATGTAAGTAGTCTTAAGAGTGGAAACAAAGTAGAGGTTTTAAAAGCTGTTTATTCTCTCTCCTTTGCCCTGTTCTATTTTGAAGTTTGACGTTCGTGTCTTTTGAAAGGGAGCATATGGCATTTCTAGTTAAGGCCTGTGATTTTCTGACATATAACTGAATAATACATTCCAAATACTGTTAAGCTTTCCAGATGAAATAATTTTCAGGGCTGAAGCACTGCAGCTTTGTGATATATCTTGCTGGAATACATATGCTATGTAACACTGATCCCCTTAAGAACTTTGAAGAACTTTGCATAGAATGCTAGTGTAGTGAGAAGGTTTGTTTCTTCTGTCCGATGTTGGTATTCCTTGGCAAGCTCAGGTTTGGGTCAGATAACAACTAGTGTGCTTTGTTCCTGAAAGTGTTCGGAATAGCTTAATTTTTAAATTAAATTAAGTTTTTTTTCTTTTATGCATCTTTATCGGGTTTTGTTTTAGACTACAAGATTTGTTTGCGTATATTTTCACCAGTAGCTCTTCTAGAGATGCATTGTAGCTCTTCAGTCTCTCCAAAGTAATTCAAATCTCTCCTTTCAGAATTTTGTGATGAATTGACTTCCTTTATCTTGAATGTGTGAAATCTTTCTGAAGTTGTGGTTTTTGATAAATTTCTGGTGTGAGCGAGGTTTCTTGAGATTCTTAATATGTACTAGTATCATTGACATGTACCTTGTGTCTCTGAATGACCGATGTACTCAATCCAGAAAAGGTTTTCCTAAAAAATGTATTTTTCCTTAGTTTTGTGGGAAGTAGAAAGGCTGTAATTGATCTCTTTGATCCAGTTAGGCAAATCAGGAGTGGAGATAATTTTAAAAATGTAGTGCATTTAATTGCTTTAACTTAACTTTTATTAGTTCTTACCAGGCCAGGGTGATAAGTGAGGAGATTTGCCTTTACAACATTTTTGGTAATTTTAAAATGAAAGGAAAGTTGAGCCTCAAATACACTTTCTTCCACTGGAACTTAATGGGTTCCTTTGGTTACTGGGAAAGCTTTTATAGTGGTATCAAATTTTAGTTAAAATGATAAATTTGGGGTCTTTAGATTTTCATATTTCCATCTTTAGATCTAGTGAATGTATGCAAAAGACTCAGAAACCTTAAAATCAAGTTTTCTATAGATTTTTGATGTGTTTGGATGGTAGTGTTTTGGTTTGTTTTGTGTTTGGTTGGTTGTTGGGTTTTTTAGTGGGGGGGGAGTTGTTTTGGTTTTGGTTTGTTTTTATTCTAAGGGGAAGTATTTAAATGCAGGTTAGCCTTATATTTCAGGGCCTGTAAAAGTGTACAAACAAGCTAGAGGGTTTCACTAATCTAATGTTCGATTTGAAATACAAAGAGATTTCTGATATGCTTCTCTCTTCTGTCAGGGCAGCATTTTTGCTGTTAATTGTCCTTGAAATACAGTTTATGCTATCCTTGTCCTCACAGTTCGTGGTCAAATTAGGCACTGGTGGTATTTTTGTTAATGACTTGTATTTGACAACTGCTGAGACTGTAAATTAGAAACGTGTAACTGAAGTGAGAATGACAAGGATGAAGACTTAAGATAATCCTACTTGTGTTGAAGTATTGAAGATCCTCCTCTACTTGAACTACTCCTGTTGTCTGCATGAGGTTGGATTTGAAGTGTTTAGTGTATCTGAGGAATGAAACCACATGTGATTAAGCTGTGTGGAAGAGAGTATCCAAGGAATTTTGGAAGCAGATGTAGGTGTAGTCCTCCTTTTTTGTTTCATTTTAGTTCATAGGAAAGAACAGCCTCTGAGGCCTTCTGACATGAGCAGATGTAGGTGTAGTACTCCTTTTTTGTTTCATTTTAGTTCATAAGAAAGAACAGCCTCTGAGGCCTTCTGACATCTAACCTGTCTGTAGGTTCAGAGGTTCAGGGCTGTTGCAGGGTCTCTTTCTAGGTTGTGTTTCATAGTACAGGTGCTGAGAACTTGAGCCCTGTCAACGTTTGGTGGTGTTGAAATTGTACTCATGTTCAGAGGCCTCTGAGGATAACGGGGCTGTTGCAGGGCTCTTTCTAGGTTGTGTTTCATAGTACAGGTGCTGAGAACTTGAGCCCTGTCAACGTTTGGTGGTGTTGAAATTGTACTCATGTTTAATTTTTAGCAGTACTTTATTCAGATAAAACTGGAAAAAGTCCAAATAACTGCAAAACCGTGTTCCCATGAGGCGCTGTTCAGCTTACCGCGGACAGCTGCATAGACTCTTCAGACACTTGGAAATTGGATGGTTACTTGGATTGGCTGGTTATCTGAGCACACTGTCCCGGGCTCGCATTATCCCTTCTAGTTTTGTGTATTAGTCATGTAATGACATATATCCCTCCATAAGTGTTAATACTTACAAAGTTTCTTTTCCATCTGAAGTGTTCTTTTCTCTTCCATGCCATATGCCCTTTAATGTCACAGTGTTGTTTTTGCTGCTCTTCCCTGAACTCGTTTCAGTTAAAAAAAAAAGTTATTTTGTGGCTCTGAGTAGGCTTCTTGAGATCAGAATACCAAATGAGAGCAGAATGGCACGTAAAGGATGTAATGAAGTAGCATTATCTACTATGCTTTAAAAGAGATTTCTCTCTATGTGAAGTCAGGAGTGGATGTGACTTTTAGATAATACTGCATTGTGAAATTTCATTAAATAGGTAGTTAGCAGCCTTGAAACTTTCCTCACATAATGCTTTTCTAGATCCCAGCCCTTTCTTCCTGTAACAGTGCTGTGAATTATTCCCTAGTCTTGTGCTCTTAAACTTTGTTGGCAACTTCATTAATACACTTGTTCTGTCAAGTCTGCTCAGCATTCTTTATGCTTCCACTTAATATTTCTATGTTGTCTTGTGGTTTTAAAACTGATATGTCAGAAGAATTGGTCAGAGACCTATCTTTGTGCATCTTTAATGTCTCTTCTCTTGGTAAATCTGTGTATGCTTTTGTTTTCTCGTTTTGTCTTTTTTTTTTCTTTTTTCTTTTTTTTTCAGAGAGTGATAATGAACTCTCCAGTGGCACTGGTGATGTGTCAAAGGATTGTCCTGAGAAGATTTTGTATTCCTGGGGAGAATTACTGGGGAGATGGTAATGCTTCATTTCTTAAATTTAGATTTTAAGTACTAACCTTTTCTTTGTTTTGTGAGACGATATGGTCTTGCACAGGAGGCTTGAAATTCTTCAGCTTACACAGCTTAAAAACTAAAATACAAAACACAATGAAGTGTGGTTTTTTTTAACCAGTTTAAAAGGGATTGATTGGTAAATCCCCTTATTTTAACTTGCAGTTATTTGACAAATCTCTCCCACAGCATCTGCACAAGTCCTGTTTCATTCAGCGTTTGGGAATATGTCCATGTATGCTCACACTGCAGGTGCGAGCCTTCAAATGCAGAGCTTCCTGGCCACCTGTGTTCCTTGGGGCTGGATGTTCAGCTCTCACGGAACTCGGTGCTTCTCAGTGCTAGGATAGAAGAGGCAGAGCAACTCCAGTCTGTCCTAAGCCATTTGTGCTAGCTGACGTACATTTAATTAATTGATTTGTTTAGAAGAACTTTTTTCTTTTTTCTTTTGTTAATGTGCTATGTGTAAGCACTTGAAAAGGAATTCTAGAAAGACTGTGATCCTCACTGAAACTGCTTCTGTTGGAGAGTAAAATGAGTATTTGTAAGCCCAGAGTGTGTTCTCAACAGTGTTATTTCTGTGGTTTAAGTGCTTCAGTAGCAGTGTATACTTTGTCAAGAGAGGAAAAAAATCTGCAAATTTGCTACCTCAGAGATCTTATGCTATTAGCAAATGCCAGAACCACTTATGTGGCTTTCCCTGTGTAAGTAATAGCTCCTACTGCCTGAGACAAAAATAATCAGAGGCCCTTTATCTGGAATTGGCAGTGTCTTTTTCCCAACACCAAAATGAGAGCTGAAAAACATTTTAAGGATTTATTTGGGCAGTTCCCTCCTTTACTTGGCCACTTTGTAGCTTTGGAAAAACACAGCCTCTTGCTGCTGACCTCCTCTTTACTAGAGACCTCATGCAAAGGTTACCTAAATGAGGCATCATAAGATTTTATTGAGTTTAACAAAACCCTTCCCTCCAGAATCCTTCCCTTATGCTTGTTTTTAACTATTTTGTCATCCAAGTTTCTGGCCTTAGTGAAAGATCTTTTTTGGGAAGCACAAATATTTAATGAAATGATTGTACAAATATTCTGGCTTTGGACCCTCTGAATGATCAAGAAAATACTGAGAAAAGTGTGGAAGCCAGTTGATCCCTATAGACAAAGTGTGTTTTCCTCACCTGAGAAGTCTGTAAACACTGTGGGGCTGCGTTGGACTTCCCAAAGCCTATTCTAAAGGACATCCCAAGAGAGAGTTTATAAATTGTTTGTGGTTTTATATCTGGCAGCCCCAGGACAATTAGGAAGGCCATCCTGATTCCTTAAAGAACTGTGTGGCAGGTTTGTTTCAATCTGCATTGTATTTGCATTGGAAGATGCTACTTTTTAATTATTTTTTTTTTTTTTTCAAATTCATCTGTCAGTTGATTGTTTTAGTTTTAACTTTTGCCCTTGACAAATACCTGGACACCTGTGGATAAGCATGCTGAAGTAAGGAACCACCCACAGCTCATTCTCTGAAGTTTCACATAACCCTTTCTTCAGGTTACTCAAGTGAACTATGAGACAAAATATTTAAGACTTTTGGAGTAAACTGTTTTGAAGTCCTAACATAACATATACACTTAACTCAGAGATTAATTTGTAGTTAAAACATCTTAATTAATTATGAGTTAAAAAGAGGGTGAGAAATGGGACATCCCAGCCAGCTTGAAAACTAGCAGTAGCAAACATTTTCTTTAGGAGTGTCTTAAGCAATATTACCTTTTGAGGTAAATTCAAGTGTATAAAATACTCGAATTCTTGAATAGTGTTATGTTACATTTTAGGAACAAAACTTGGAAAGAGTAACAGATGAAAAATGTTAACAATTTGAAAACTAAAAATAGATTGTGTTGAAAACTGCAGCATATGCTAGTGGAATATCTGTGCACTTGTAAAAAAAAGTAAATAAATAAAACTTAGCATTTCTACTTGGACAACTGCTGTGCTGATTTGTCTTTTAGATGAAAAATTTCTTGCCCTTTAATTGCTTCTTGTGATTTCATTAAAATGTCACTGTAACCTAACAAACTCACTCAGCAGAAACTTTGTTCTGAGTCTCCTTCAAACATATAAACAGGAATAAGATAATTTACCAAAAAGATACCATAAATAACTGGAAAGTAATGGAATATCTTTTAATTTATATTACTATTTACTGCATCCTCAACATTAAAGTTGTTCTTGCAAGCTGAGCTAGTTTAGCTGAGTATTTAACTTATTTCTGATGTCTTTTTTTTTTTTTAAAGTAGCAATGATCAATAGCAGTCTTTGATCAGAAATATTTATTTGTCAAGATGGAGCAGTCTATGCATTGCTGTTCTGTGTTCTTGCTTTTTGATGTTTTAAAATTGTCTTTGAATTTTATGCAGGAGAATTACAGCACTTCGTAACAAATTAAAGATGTCAGCATCCATGAATGATCTGTTTTTTCTCACCTGTTAAAGGATGAGACTAGAATAAGACAAGCTTTTATTTATGCTTGTTTCTGCTATAGTCTGGCCGAGCAGGTGTCAGAAAGTGTCTAGGAATGGAAGGTGCCTGGGCCTCCACACAAGGGAGGGGAAAATGCCTGTTTGTTCATTATTGTAGAATACAGAGCAAGGATTATTAACGATCAAGCTGCTTCCCAAACAGACATTCAGAAACTGAGAAGCTGCATATAGAGTTATGCTTTACTGCATGGACTGATGTTGTTAAAGCATTACCTCTACCATAAAATGACACTAAGCATGCTACAGTAGTCAGTTGTGGATGTTTAGTAGTAAGGATAGTATTGCAGCGTGGAAGGTGCATCTGTCTTAGCTGTTACCATAAACTATTTGTATTGTTTTCTTGGTGTCGCTGAAAAATTATGTTATGTTTAGATGGGAATGCACCTTTTCAGCTGTTCATTTTATTTTATCTGCTTGCTGAGTCCTCAGAGAAGGCCTTCTGTGTGTCATATATAATACAGAAGAGCAAATCCATGTCATAACCAAACTAACTGATTTGAAGTGTGCTATGAATGCTTCATTTTCACTCAGTGTGAACTTTAAGTTTCTGGTGTATTGAATTTATTTATTCAGGAATGTACATTTCATCATTTTGTAACCACTTAGAGTGTCTAGTCCTTTTAATATTTCTGTGAATATTGTTTTTAGTTTCTAGCTTTTTCCCATCTTAAGACCTTTAGTCTAATGTGACTTGCTGCAAAATGTACTGAAAAAGAGCAAAGGGACTAGTTGGGTTTTAATTTCACTAACTGAATTATAGAGTTTGAAATTACTTTTATTGCATTACACATTTAAAATTCAAAATAATTATTGTATTTAAAAGAATAAGGGCATTATATAAGTATACTCTTTTTGAATTCTCAAGTCACTTGGAAAAAGTGGGGATATCATCTTCTGAGTATGGGAAAAAAATTATTTGGAGCACCTTTTAAATTTAAACAGTAGTGGTAAACTGTTCACATCTTAATGACCTGTTTCAAAGAATGAGTACTCTAAACATTTACTTAAAATCGAGGGTCAAATTGCACATTATTTAATTTAATCGCAGCTTGCTGGCATTTGCCTAAACTGTCACTCTCACTATTCTCTTACCAGTAGAGTTGAAAAACATAACAATGGTCAAAACAATAACAGAGCAAAGCACTTCCTACATTATAAAGAGTCGATTCACACAGTCTTCCTGCTGCATTGCTATGAAAATTGCTGTAATAAGTCAAAGTGAGGTTTAATCTAGATCGGTAAACACTATTCTCTCAAAAAGGAGTTTTAAACATCTGTGGCTGAAAGCTCTGCAATATTGTGCATGTGCAGTGATTTTATCCTAAATGTATGGGCTCAGTGACTGGCTTATTTTTGGAAAACACATCTTTAGTATTCAGCCTGTCTGAATATAGCCTTTACACAGTTCTACATACCAACTTCTGTAGGTTTAATGATGAAGTGTTGGAAAATAAAAGAAGTCATCCTGCAATTAATTGTCATCCTACATTTTTTTTTTTTGCTGTGTGTACAAACAGTTAGTAAACCTCTACCTCAAACTGATAGCAGATTTATTTGGAGTGGTGGAATTTTACCAAGGTATGTGCAAGTCTTACTGCTTTGTGGGCCTTGCAACATACTCTTGCAGTCTTCATGTTAGCGCTCTTAAAACTGGTTTTTATTTGTTTTCCAAAATTTATTTCTCTATGGAGCTTAGGTTATTTTTAATTTCATTTTCTTAACCTAAGCTAAATGTATATGTTGAACACATATTTAAATTGAGTTGTCTGCACAGATGGCATAGTTTTCTCTTCCAATTAAAATTGTTCTTCATTAGACAATTTAGTTCAATTTTTTTGCAGGTTTTTATTTTTCTAATTTTTATTACTTTCTCCGAACCTAGAGAATTTGGATATCACTACATTTTGCCACTGGTTATTGTAAATCCTTGCAGAATTTTTGCTTTGCATCTGACAAATAGTAATTAGTGTAACCAGTGGAAGAGAAGTTTGTGTTGCTAGTTGCTGACTTTACTTTTCGGAATAACATTGGAAAGTTGAAAAACTTTTTATATTTTTTTAGCTTGATTTCTACTCTTGTGGTTGAAGTATAATACTCAAGTGATTGTCTGTTTCTCAGGCACAATAATCTTGTTGTGAGACCAAACGGATTATCTACCCTGGTGAAAAGAGGTGTTCCAGAAGCACTGAGGGCAGAGGTTTGGCAGTTGCTGGCAGGATGCCATGACAACCAGGCAATGCTGGATAAATATCGAGTTCTCATCACAATGGTAAGTGATTTTTTTTTTTTAATTTCTTTCTTGCTTTTTATTTTCCTTTGGTTAAAATGAATTCTGCTGGGCAGCAGTTTTACTCAGTGGCAAGGTAGCAAAAGAGTTTGACTTGTTTCAAGCCACTGAAATTGTGATTAGGTGACTTCACCTCCTGCCATGGGTACCTGCTGAATGGCATTAACAATAGAAATTGCTGACCTATATCTATAGTAATGCTTGACATTTAACTTTCTATTCACTTGCTGTGATGATAATAAGCACATCAGCTTGTTATTCAGGTGTTTGTTTGCTTTCGTTGTGGTTTTTTTTTTTTTTAAATTATTAAATTCAAATTCATAGCTTTGTTTCTTCAGCAGTTTCTGTTCTCTTATGCTTTAATGTTCTGGTTTTTATCTTAAAAAACCCAAACAAAACCAAACAAAACCTCACAAAGTTGAGTATTTCTTGGTTTGTTGTTTATTTAAAAAAAAAAAGTTAAAGCCATTTTTACCTAGCAGGAAACCAGTCTCCTTACTATATGGGTGATATGAGAGGAGAATCCTGTTGGGAATCTCCTCCCGTTCTGTATCCTGATGTCATCGGTGCAGTCAGTAAACATTATAAGCAGTTGTCTGCATAGATGTTCCACACTGCTTATAGCTGTGCTTGAAAGCTACTGTCTTGTAGGAGCAAAAACTCTGTGCAGTGTCAGGAGGTAAAGTCACCATTTGGGGTTCTAAAATTCTTGCCACTGCAGGGTAGTTAAGCACTCTGAGAAAAACAGTAGTCCCAAAAATGGTCATCATGGCAGAAATAGATTAATTTTTTTATGTTGCTCATAGAAAGTGTTGGATTTGTGTTCTGGGAATTAATCATCTGTCCATACAAAAGTTCTGGGGTAGGCGTTGTTACTTGAAGTTTCCTTGCATAATGTTGTCATATCTTTTGATACTTGTCCTCTTAATTTGACTTACCCACTATGTTTGTAAACTTTAAAAGCATCCCCAGAGTGAGATCTGTCCTCATGGCTTCTTTTTCCTTTACTAATAAAGAAGGATGTTTGGATAGTGTAAATTTTTCTCTTTGACGTTGTAGTTGGGTTATATTTTCCTTAGAAACCATTCACAGGACATCTGTCAGCTGTATGTTGCATCAAAACCACCTCCATTATTTTGCTCATGCTTTCCAAAAGTGGGGAAGATGTTTGTTTCACAGCGGAGGAGGGAGTGGAAAACTTCTAAAATGCAAGCCTTATCTTGACGCTCGGGCCTCATGCCTTAAAAATACTTTGTTACACTTGGCCTTTTCATGATAGAAATATTTCAGTGACGTGTATTTTAGAAGATGATATTGCATACAGTATTTAATATGAAATATTATACTATTATGGATTAGAAAATTGAATCCTATTCTGAACTGAAGCATTTATGCAAACTCAGGTTTTTTTCTGAAGCAAATCCACAACATTTCTTCTACAGTCTGACTGTATATAACTGCTGGTGATCACATCCTTTGGCATGCGTTGCATGGAAGGATTCATGAAAAGCAATGAACAGGAGAGAGTCTATGCCAAACCAATGCTAAGGCGCATTTTTAGGAATAATTAATATTGGGTGCTCAGAAAACCTTGTCAGCTAATTTGTTAAAATGAATTTTTATCTCATTTATGTCTGTGAACATAAACATCTGTCTGTCTTCTTTCAGTTTCATTTTGGTGTGTTGGTAATGTGGATTAAGCTATTGGGAGGGCACATATATGTTATTCTCTGAATCCTACTAAAAGCTTTGTTGTAGTGTTATCTTATGTGTGTCAATAATAATATGCGTGTTAAACTTCAGAGCTATTTGGATATAAATGCCTATTCGCTTGCTTCTCCTGTATGAATGTGGTGGGTTAACCTTGTCTGGATGCCAGGTGCCCACCAGCAAATAAATAATCAACAAAATAAAAAAATCAGCAAATAAAAAATCAGCAAAATAAAGGGGGAGGATAAAAAACTTGTGGGTCAAGGTAAAAGCAGTTTAATTAAAGCAAAGGCCAAGGCTATGCACAGAAACAAAAGTAAAACAAAGATGTTATTCTCTACTTCCCCTCAGTAAGCGATGTCCAGCCACTTCCCAGGAAAGCAGAGCTTCAGGATGTGTAGCAGCTGCTCCTGGAGACAAACCCAGTAACAAATGCTCCCCTCCTCCTCCCTGCCCTGGGCTTCTATGGCTGAGATGAGGTCACATGGTCTGGAACAGCCAATCCGGGGCCCCCGTTGCCGGGACCAGCCAATCCGGGTCAGCTGTCCTGGCCCCGCCCCTCCCCAGCTGGGTTATAAACCCCCTGCTGGCTGCCGGGGTGACCCTCAGCGCTGGGGGGATACTGACTGCATCCCAGCCAGACCCCATGCAATGGAAAGCAGAACTGATTTCTTCTTTCTGTGTTGTGTGCTACTATCCCAATACACCAGCAGCATGTACTGTATTTTTTCCATAATTATTTAGTCTTCCCATGAAATACATAGCTTTTTTCATGATTTTTTTTTTTGTTTAAGGATACATTTACACAGCTTTGTTGTCTCCTTGTATTTTGGTCAGTCTGCTTAATGTTCCTCTTGTTTAGGCTCACTTCTGGAACTGTATGTTTTTGTGGACGTCTTGACCGTTTCAGTAGTATATTCATATTCGTATGCATTCCTGGGAGGATTTCTGTAAGCCATTCCTAGGTGGTTCGAGGTGGCAGTGTTCTGCACTTGCAGTCTTGAGAATAAAGTGTACTGAGATACCGCAGGTGGGAGGGGGTCGCAACATCTGCACTGTTCAGCCAAGCTGGTGATTGTAGTACCTCGGTGAGAGTGAGGGCACTTGGAAAACACTAGAAAAATCTTTGCACCCAGGGATTTGTAGGAAAAGAAGTTTCTGTAGGTGCAGTGGGTGCTGCTTCGGTCTGGTGGTCAAAACAATATGGCTAAACTGTGTAACTCCATAGCAAAATGCTATGGACTCCTTTAGTAAATACAGTGTTAGCCAGTACTTACCAGTAAGGTAAGGAATACTGGCCCGTTTTCTTGGGTGACACTTGGCTTTAAAAGCATCTTTGGTATCTTTGATTACTTTGGTTATATGAGATCTGAAGAAATTTTTTTTCTAAAGAAAATTTCAGAGGCCTAACTTGAGGAATAAATCTTGAAAGCTGTCATTTTACTCTCATAGCTTAAAAGGTGAAACTGATGGCTGGAATTACTTGTATTGAACATATGATACCTCATTTATGACTACCTCTTCTGGGAAATGGCGGTAACTATGTTAAAAACTGGAGCTTTAAAACTACTGTGGTGTTGCTGGTTAACTCTTGGTGAAACTGTGCTTGCTAGTGGAGGAGGAGAATTGTATTGCCGGCAGGCCAAAAATGTGTTCCTTGTGGTAAACTGAATGATAGCACTCTCAACATTTAAATTTACTTTAGAGATCGTGATACAGGCGCATTTGTTGTTCTACGCCAGTCGCATGCAGTCTGTGCAGAAGCAGTGTGTTAGATTGGCCAACGATTATTCACATCACTTGGCAGATCTGGTATGCATGTTATACTATATATATCCATCTGTGTGCACAGCTCTGAAATGTACTGCAGTATTTTTCAGTTAGAGGAGTGTTTTGCTCAGTGTGTTCTGTAGGAGAGAGTAATTTGGGGCTTGTTTTAGCATTTCGATTCAGCACAGAAAGCCAAAGAAAATCTCTATCTTATTTAGAAAAATCAGTGGCATACTTATTTTCTCCAAAAGGCATGTCCTCTAGTCCTCTGCTCTGGAGGTCAACAGTCTGTCAAGAATGATCTAGTGAAGCGTGTTTTCTTTCCCATATCGGAGCATTCACATGCTGATACATTTCCCATCTCTAGCTGAGTCTGGAATTCCAGGAGGGAAGGGAGAAATAAATCCTTCTGCTCTCACAAGCACTTTCTTACTGACAAGCTCTGTTTTGCTGTATCTTATGTCTCCTGATGAGTTCCAGTTTGGTGACTATCATCAGCCTCTCAGAAATTTTGACTGAAGCACAATAGTAGGTCTTGCATACAATTTTAGAGTGTAGGAGTTGTGATTTGGCAGCTGCTTCATTTCTGACATATATGTAAATCTGTACTGTATGACAATCAAAATCTACCTTAGTTGCTTTCTGACATGTGCCATAGGCTTTTGACCCGGCTGCACGTGGCACAGTAATGAAGGGGGAAAATAAGACACACCAGCAGACATAAATATATATTTTTTTGATATATATATATG